TCAGCAGCAACAAATCAGATGAATATTGTGTGCCATTATGACCACAAATAATAAATAAATATGATCCAACTCTAGTTGATGTATGTGAAAGCCTTTTATAAAATTTTTCACTATGAACTTGGATCCATTTATTTTTTTCTATTTGTAAATTAAATAAATAAATGACATTTTATTATTATTATTATTATTATTATTATTATTATTATTCCTATTAATGCTATATTATTAATTGATTAATTACCTAAATCCAAAATATGAACATCGCTAAAACATTCGAGTCCATCACTTCCCCCATAAACAACTAACTTGCTTCCAACCAAATTACTAGTATGGTATCCCCTAGAAATTGGTGCACGTCCACTAGGTTCTACTTTTTTCCACACCAAGTTGTTTAAATCAGATACATTCAACATGTGAACGTCATTGAGTGCTCGCGCACCGTCTCCACCACCAAACACATAAATGCTATTATTATAGTATGCTGTAGTATGTGCACGACGTGGTAATGGTATATCTCCGGTTGTTTCAGGCTTACTCCACGATAATGTATCTAAAAAAATTTCAATTACTCTTTGTTTAATTGGGGGGGGTTTTTTTTTTTTCAATAATAATGATCAATCATCTTTTTAATACCTGTATCAAAAATATATAAATGATTAAAGTATACTGAACCATCTCCTCCACCAAATATAAATAACTTTTTATCAACAAGTGTTGATGAATGTGCACGACATGGCGGAGGTGCTTCTCCAATGACTCTTGGTTTATTCCAATACATAGTATCTAAATTATATTTTTAATAATAATAATTATATATATATATATATGTATATATGGATAAATCTTTACAAACATGATAATATATGTACCTGCATCAAAAACATAAACAGTATCAAAACATGTACGTAAATCGCGCCCTCCAAATACGTACATCAATTCCCCAACTAAATTGACTGTATGTCCCCTCAAAGCCTTGGGTATTTTACCGTTTGTTTTTATTTTTGTCCAATACATGGCAGGTGCGGGAGCAGGTTCAATTAACAGGGAAGGTGTTGATTGTTCATTTGTATTATTGTGTCTTTTTCCATCTCCTCGATGATGATAATGGTTATGGTGACGGTAATGATTATGGTGCTGACTATGATTATGATTATTATGATTAATGCCGTTAGATTTCTTTGATTGATTAGTTTGAACAGTTTGTTCGTGTTGATTGTTTTGATTAGATTGATCAAGTTGCATCGGACTGAGACTACGTCGAATTGGTGGTACTTGTTTAGGAGTCGGGCTATCAGGAGACGACAGGCCAGAAGTTGAAAAGGGACTTTGCGGAGAGGTTGTTACAGGAGAGGCTACTTTAGAAAGGAGAAGGTAAACGAACAGCATAATATAAATTTACATGGTTAGATACAATGGAAGATGGTTTTAAATGAAGTTTGTTTTAACTGATTTTTGAATTGATTAAACTTTTTTGTAGATTCATGATTTTGGGACGCACTTGAGGAATTTACCAAAACAACGCTACTATGATTGTTATTTGACGATGTAGTAGTAGTAATAATGGTAGAAGTGGTAGAAGTAGAAGAAGTAGAAGAAGTAGAAGAAGAAAAAGGAAAAGAATGAGTTGGTGGAAGAGTTGGTGATTCAGGATAAGCTGGTTTGGTCGTGTCTAAATCGGCATCACCATCATACGACTTGTTCTTGCTTTATTTAATAAAAAATAATCATTAAAAAATTACAAAAAAAAAAAAGAAAATAATTAAATTGAAAAATTACTTTGATTGACTAGTAGCAGCCATCTGGGATTTTTGGGTCAGATCTGTTTCTTTCATTATGAAAAGACAATGATGGCAATAATGTTGAAAGGAAAGGAAATAAATGTATACAGTAAGTAATGAGTTCAACAAACCAAAAATGTGTATCAAACTTTATTTTTGGTCTAACGTGAAATTTATCGCATTTCTTGCCGATCTATTTGTTTTTTACTTTTTCGTTATTTTGTTTTTTCTCTTAATGTTAAAAATATGACAAAAGACATTCCAATAATAGATTTTCATTTGTACAAACAAGATTTAAAAGAATTTTCTGAAAATATTGAAAAAGCAATTGAAAATATTGGTTTTTTTTACTTGAAAAATCATGGAATTACTCAACAAGAAATTTCAGAGATGTTTGAAAATGTAAAGAAAAAAGTTTTGAATTTTCTTCTTTTTGTTTCTAAACAAGAATTCAACAAGTCATTCAATTAAATCAGAACAATGTTATTAAAAATTTCAAAAGTCAGAAAAATTTTTTAAATTGCCATCAGAAGTTAAAAGTCTATACAATCAAAAAAACAATTTTGGATATTCTTCTTTTAAACATGAAATTCTTGATCCAAATAAACAAACTTTGAGTGATTTCAAAGAGTAGGTGAAATAAAAATTTTTTTTTGAAATAACAAAAGGTCGAATCACCTTGCCAATTCAATATCTCTTTACACGCATATTTATTATATAATAATTAATTATTGATTGATTTTAGATCATTTAATTTTGAGACATTTCAAGATGATGGAATATTAACACAAGAATTGCCTAATATCTTTATGGAAAATTTGGAAAAAATTTATAAATTTGAAAAAGTTAAAAAAAAACAATAAATAAATAAATTTTTTTTTAAAAAAACTTCCAAGTTAATTCTAAATATTATTTTTTGAAAATATTTAGAAATGTCACAATCTATGTATGAATATATTGGAGGGACTTGCAATCTCATTAGAAATACCTGAATCAGAAGGCGGAAGATTTTGGTTTAAAAGTAGACATAGATATGAAAAGAAATCAGGAAGTGTTTTAAGAGCGTTACATTATCCACCATCAACTTTCTTCACCGAAAATATCAAAGAAAAAGACACTAGAGCTGGAAGGTAAAATAAATAATCGGGTCTTTTCCAATTTTTCTGTAAATTTATTTTTTTTAAAATTCATGTTAAAATAATATAAAATTAATTTAAACTTAGTCATTCAGATTATGGATCTTTAACACTGCTATTTCAAAAAGATGTTGGTGGTTTAGAAATATATTTGGGTGATAGTAATGACAATAGTGGTGATGGAGATAATGGAGAAGAAGAATCCAAGTGGATTTCAGCTCCAATTATACCAGGATGTATAATAATTAATATTGGAGATTTAATGAACTTTTGGACAAAAGGTTTATTAAAATCTACAAAACATCGTGTAGTATTTAAAAACAATACAATGAATACAGATAGATATAGCATCGCCTATTTCCTTCATCCTGAAGATGATACTCATTTAGATCCAATTCCGAGTAGATTTATTGATAATTCCACTATTCCTAATACCGATAATGTTGAAGGAGGGAAGAGTGAAAGAGTGGGAAATGATAGTAGTAAGAAAATGACAGCTGGAGACTATTTAAAATATAAATTAGATATGACTCATTTTACTTATTAACTGATACGAGAAAGTAGTTTTACCTGTTTATTTGTTTATTGTACAAGATTTAGATTATAATCTATTGTTATTATTTGTAAGCAAAATCTAATCTTTTAATATCTTGTTTTCCACCTTACAGTTGCTATCATTCTTAATTGCAGGAATTAAATTGGACAAAAAAAGACAATATATTTTTTAATTGTAACAAATTATATCATAGATTATCACATTTTTATTATAAATAACGTAAACCTTATTAGGATTTGTGAATTTAAAATCCATGCCATTAGTTCTTAACAAGTTAAATCAATTTCATAATTACCAGATGGATGGGTCCCTTAGAGGCATATTTTTATGAATTTCATTCGCTCGGCCGAATTTGATTAATACTAACTTCACATCTGCGATCTTCCCCATGGCAATTGTAAGTTGGTGTTTATTAATATTTCTAAATCCCCACTATTTTTCTATTTATCATTATGTATATATCTCTTCTAGTACTTATAATGATTCTAAATTCTCATAAATCTTTTTTCGACTGACCATATGAGCCTATGAGATGATTGTAAATTTGGGAAAAGATTTTTGCGTTTATCACTAACTCTTTCCTATCAATACCAATTCTTCATTTACGGCAATACTTTTCAGGGTTAGCCGGGTTTCTCATTCATACAGTTCTAGTCGCACTAATATTAATAGGGAAATACATGCTACTTATTCTAAATCGTTGCCTTTGATCGTAACCAAATAACAACAACACTTTTTGTCAAGTCAATAATGATTGCTATTGCTATCCTATTTCTGGTATTGTTATGCAACTATTAAAAATATCTCTTATTTAAATTAATCTTTTTCTAGTAATAATAATAGCACTGATTTTTAATCAAAACAGACAATACACTTGAGATTTGGAGTTCCCGTAGTTTTGACCTACAGTATAATGGCTCATCTGCATCAAGTATTAAAGGAATCATATGATCGATTGATTTATGGACATCAAGTTCTAACCAGTAAAAATAAAATGCAAGTATATCAGATATATTTGTGATCGACAATTTTTTTCACACATTGCGTTATTCTATTAGTATAATGTCTATAATTTCAGAAGTCAAACGCGGTATACAATTAGCTTGGTTGGGATTAGTATTAGCTTTTGAGAATCGACATTTACATAAACACACATATGTAAAAGCATTCTTTATATTAGCAGCATTTAGCTTGGTACTTTATCTCGTTACATCAATAGTATTAGTAATACCTTTGAAAATTCTTCAACTTTTAGTCTATTTATTTTCTTTTGTATTCAACTACGATCCAAATGTATTTACCGAACGTTACCATTTGTGGATAACAAAATATGTTTTCAATCTTCCTTTCCTAGGCTTATTATTTATGAGATACGTTTACCCAGAACCTTTAGACTCGTTATTCATGGAATCACTTCGTAATATTGACGTAGTTTATTTGAAGAAACATGCTGGTGAAAAAAACCTTAGACCACCTTATACAGAAGCATTAGAACGATATCCATACGGAGCAAATTATTGGGGTGAAATGTGGCAATATTTGAAAAGGACTGGCAATCAAATTCAAATTGCAACAATTTTATTTTTGTTGTCATTGATGCCAATCATAGGTTCGTTTGTTTATCCAATAGCGAGTGCTTACGCTTTGGTAGATTCTTTGGGATATCCAACTGCCATAACTATAGGGGTTTTGATGTATCTTACACCTGGAACAAAACATATTGCCATGGTTTCCTTGGAAACCATATTTTCTACAAGAGCATTAATGCGAGAATTGTTGGAACCTTACTTTGGTAGAATAAGTTTTAGTCCAAGCGAAAAGAAAAAATGGTTTAAAGAAAGAGAAGGATTGTTATTTGGATTTTCAATTGCATTTTATCCATTAGTTAGATTACCTTTGATTGGTATGCTATTCTATGGTGCTGCTCAGGTAAAATATAAAAAAATTTTTTTTTTAATTTTTAGTGAAGATAAAAAAAAAAAAAAGAAATAATTAAAAATTTAAATTTACACCATATATATATTATTTTTTTTTAATTAATTAATTATAGGCTGCAACTGCTTTACTTTTAGTTAAAACAACAGATCCACCACCATCGCCACCACCATCATCATCTCATAATGATAAAGATACTGACTGATTCTTAAAAAAAAAAAAAAAAAGTTCATTTTAACAAGATTAAAAATTCATCATTGTATATAGAAGCTCAAGAATAAATACAAATAATATTTATTTTTTATCTTTAACTTTGTTGTTTTGCCATATAATATAAGTGAAAGAAATAATAGATCAAATGATTTCTTTTGCTTCTAAATCAGCCCAAGGATCTTCAAAGAAGGATTTGTGATAATATTTACTAATATCGACGTTTTGATGTTTTGGTGATTGATATTTATTAAAACCTCCACCCCTTCTTCCACCCCTATTTCCACCTCTATAGTTGCTATTTCTATATTGCCCTCTTCCATTGCCACCGCCACGGTAATAATTATTATAATTTTGTCTTTGTGGTCTGTTGTTATATCCACTATTCCCATGATTATATTGTTGTTGTTGATTTCTCTGAAATCTTTCTTGCGGTTTTTGATTATTATAATTACGAGATCTTTGACCTCTAAAATAATTACCGCCTCTGTTTCCAATTGTTCCAGTGTCATCACTCCTTGGAGTTTCTAGTTCGCTTTGGTCTAACACATTATCATTATCATTATTATTATTATTAATTGACATTTTTAATAAAATCTTTTTAAAAATATAATTTCAAATGTCCACAATGATCAACATTACACGTTCCATATAAATCTAAAATTTTCTAATTTTGGTAAAAACCTTAAAATTTATTTTACATCAAACTACCACCATGCCATGCATGCTATTTTTTAAAAAAAACCAATCATGTCACCTACAAATTTTATTTTTTCCACAGATTACATTTCACCAGAAGTACAAGCAGCGTTACCAAAAGGATACACTATTCGTCCTTTAGCTAGTGATGACTATGAAAGAGGATTCCTTGAGGTGTTGAAAGTTCTCACAACTGTTGGTGACATTTCAAAAGATCAATTTCTTGGTTAGTAGTAAAAATTAGCAGTAAATACTAGTCATAACAAATATAGTGGTGGTGATGGTGGTAGTGGTAGTGGTAGTGGTAGTAGCAGTATCGAATGTTCTTTATAAAATTTATTTTTAGTGCATGATATCGTCATCTCTGAGATTTATCTACCTCTGTTGATTATCTTGATTAGAACGATTTTATTTTTTGAAAACGCACAATTATGAATACTTTACACTTGTCATTGTTTCACCCGAAGATCGAATTGTTGGAGCTGGAACTATATTTGTAGAACGTAAATTTATTCGTAACACAGGATTGGTATTTACTTTATTTATTTGATTCTCCAACCTTTTTTTCTTCGCCTTCTTGCAAGTTTAATAATATACTTTTGTGTGTGCGTATATATTGTGATTAGGTCGGACATATTGAAGACATTGCAGTTGATAAGAATCAACAGGGGAAAAAACTTGGATTAAGAATAATTCAAGCCCTTAAATATATTGGAGCAAAGGCAGGATGTTATAAAGGTAATGTTAAATAACGAATAAATAAAGTTGAATATTGTTCACAATGAGATAATAATATTTTTTAAAAATTACTATTTCAAAGTGATATTGGATTGTTCTGAAAAGGTGAGGTTTATTTTTCACACACTGACACAAATACATTAATAAACACAAACACATGCTAACAAATTTATACATGATAGAATGTACCATTTTATGAAAAGTGTGGGTAAGTAAAATAAAAAAAATTATCATGACTAGATTATTTATTAATAAAGTGATCAACTCACCCACTCGCTCATCTCATTCAATCATCAGATTTACTAGAAAAGAGGTGGAAATGGCATGGTATACAAACCAACAAGATCAAATTAAATCAAAATTATAGATGATGCTATTTATTTATTTATTTTATTTATTTATTTTTATTTATTTATTTTTATTTATTTATTTATTTTTAAAAGATTAAAAATTAAAAAAAAAATTACAAGTTTATTATACACGAACCATTTATATACTAATTGATTGTTGAGTTTAGGTGTCATACAAAAATAGAGTGGCCTAATGTTTTGGGTTCTTTGGCACGCTATGCGTATTTGTAAATAGCATACTTTTTAAGCGAATAGATAACTACTACGTTATCTATTATTTTTTTTTGGCATGAATAAAGATTGATGTCAAATAAATGTCAAAACCCATTTTACATAAAGCACCCGATAATATGATTGTGATTGGCTCGCAAAATTAACGCTTTATTTCATTTAGTGCCAACTTTGCACGACTTGCTTAATTCAACTGTTTTGCTTAGCTTTATTTACCCTGCGGACGTTATCTCAAATTTAATCATTTCAGATAACTTTATTCCGAGGTATTTGCCCCACATTTAATATTTTAATTACGTATTTTGGTTGCTTTTTCAAGTTAGTGATTTCACTTAATAATTTTTTTATCTTTATGATATCGCTGATCCTTGTTTTTCAATTGTTTAATAAAGATAAGTTCACACGATTTTCCTTATCCTGTTTTGAATTTTGACTAACAATCTTGTATATACTAAACGCTCATCACCATATATGTACACAAACCTGATACGTCCATTTTTCTTGTTGCATTTGTTTTTCTCTAACCACTACTTAAATTTTTTCGATGGTCATGGAACTCTCTAATGTGATGAATACCCTTTATACGATTTCAATCAAGAGTTGAAAATCCCCGTATTTCTTCTTCAAAACCCGTTAATTATATACAACACATTAGAGAGAAACATATTCCAAGACCGATTTTTATTATGTCGTACAGATATTACACAAAAATACAAAAATATAAAAAAAAAAGTAGATTGAAAATTTTAAATTTAAGATATTTTTTTTTTTTTAAAAAAAATCGGAATTGGGAAGGTGGATTATTTGATAAGTAAAATAAAATAAAATAAAACATAATAAATATATATACAAATAAATGGCTTCTTTAAATTTAAATGTGAGTGAGTGGATTATTATTATTGTTGTTGTTGTTATTATAATTATTATTGAATATAAAATAAATAAATCATTTTTAAACAATTATATATATTTTTTAAATCAACAACAACAACAACAACATGATGTCTGATATATATACAATTAAAAAGGTTGTAAGGTGGGCAGCATTGGTATTTGGAATAACTTATGGATTTGTGCATCATAGATCATTAGCACATGCTGAAGCAAAGAATAAAGCAATAGCGAATTATAAACATAAAGAAGAATTGATTTCTAAAGCAAAAGCTGCATACGCTGCTAAGCTTGCAGAAAAAAGTTCAAAAGAAGGTAATAAAAAAAAATTTTTTTTATTTTCTTTGCTTTTAATAAATAACAATAATAATAATTGTAATCACTGGAGTGTACACACATACACATATTTAATATTTTTTTCTTTCTAAAATAATCCTTAAAAATAGTTATAACGAATCCAGATGATCCCAACTTTGATTTAGAAAAACTTTTGGTTCATTATGGAAGCAAAGAAAACCATTAAATTATTTTCTAAATTTAAAAAATTCAAGATTAAACCAAATAAATATAAAAAAAGAACTTTTTAGAAGATGATGATTCTTAAACATCCTTAACATATATATTTATATGTATATTATATATTTATATAAAGTCAGTATATAAATTATATCATTGCATGCAAAAAATTTTTATTCCTTAAAACAAGCACATTCACACACACATATATACATTCATACATACAAACACAAATTTTTAATAATGGATTTTTTTAATTATTATGATGATTATTATTACTATTATTATTATTATTGTTATTATTATTATTATTATTATTGCTAAATTAAAGAATTCCCAAAACAAATTTAAAAACAATACTTGAATATTCTTGAATCATTTGGGTTTGAGGTTTGTAAACCAAAAAAAAAAAATTACGTGATAAAATAAAAATGGTTTGGAGGAAAAAATAATTTTTTTTGATTTATTTGTTTTTCAATTCGTGTTACAATGAATGGTGACAAGAATATTTTTGTCTAGAAAATTTTTTGTTTTTTTTTTTCTGAAATAAATACAAAATGGAAGAACAAACACAAACAGTTATTGATCAAAATGTTGTTGAAACATCACCAACCATTTCTGCACCTACTGCTGTAACATCAGCAACGGCACATATTCAAGCACAACAACTACAACAAATACAACAACAACAAAACCAACAATTTATGGAAAAAGTAAGTGCAAAAATAATTTATATATTTTACTTTCAAGCTAATTAGCTAATTAATAATAATATATATATATTGAAACAAATCAAAAAAAAAAAAAAAAGTTTTGGAATGAACAGCTCAACATTGCGACAAATTTTGAAAGCGATTTCAAGAACCATTCATTACCTTTAGCTAGAATCAAAAAAGTAATGAAAAGTGATCAGGAAGTCAAGGCAGGTTTTTTCTTCTTTCCATTTTACCACTTGATGTTTGGTTTTATCAGTTATAATTAAAAAAAAATAAATTTAACTAAATTAGATAAATAAATACAAACAAACATTTATTTATTATTAGATGATTAGCGCAGAGGTAGGATCATTGTTTGACACTTTTTTATTATTGTTATTTTGTTGTCGAGAGAAAAAAATTAACATGCATTTATATATCAGGCGCCAATTATATTTTCTAAAGCGTGTGAAATCTTTATAACAGAAATTACCATGAGAGCTTGGATTCACGCAGAAGAAAATAAACGGCGTACATTACAACGAAGTGACGTTGCATCAGCTGTCAATAGATCTGATCAATTCGATTTTTTGATAGACATTGTTCCTAGAGAAGAAATGGCAAAAACTGTAAATAGAAGACAAAAGGAAGAAACTGTAGGCGTTAATAATACCATATTTACCATTTCTATTATTCGTATTATTTATTATTATTCATATATTCACATTTACATTTATTTATACAAATATTCTTTATCTAAATTTCTTACTTGACTAAACAAATCAGTCTACAGAACAAGTTTTCAGCGATCAAAATGTCTCGGCATATTACACACAACAACCTGGTCTTCAATTCACATCAGAAAATGAAACTAGTTATTTCCAACAATCAAATAATTAGATAAATATATATTTTTAATTGATAGTAGTGATTATTATAATGTGATACAAGTATGATTTGCATATTATAAATATTAAAAATAAAAATAAACCCCTACTTATTACGCGTGAAATAGTGGCTGCAGATCGTCGCGTAAATACGTAATTCCATATGAATGTAAATTTTTGACGTTTCTTCTTTTGAGGAACAATCGATCCTTTAAAACCCGAAATGACGATGACATATTAGATTATCATGTATATACATAAAAAATGTGCGTAATAATCTCATATATTTTATGGTGCGTGGGTAGATTGTTCAACAACGTGTAGTACCTCGAGCGTTATATATAGTAAAGATATAACTAACTAACTGTACCATAGTACAGATATGTGTTGTATACAGTCAGCGCTCGATATAGTGAAGTTTTGGCTAGTACAAATTTGGAAACTATCTGCGCTAATATCCAATCAAATTCAATTTTTATGAAGATAGTTTCCAAATTTGTACTAGCCAAAACTTCACTATATCGAGCACTGACTGTATGCTATATTAATCTATATATATATATATATATATATATATATAAGAATTGGTTCCCGAGTAATCCTTCAATTCTGCACATTTGTGTGCACGATCAAAATTTTTTAATTGTTCCTTTGATAATTTATGATGTATAGTTGATTGGTTGGTTGGTTTGTTGGTTTGTTGGTTGGTGGACACATAAATATTAAACAAAAAAAAAAATAATTCCTCAATGTAAAATAATAATGTTATTATTAACGATGATGATAAATCAAAAGTCGCCGATCTTTGTGGAATTCGTGGGAGGCTAAAAAGATTGTATCCCTGAAATATATATATTAATATCAAATATTATATAGGGCTTCGCTTATTGTTAGTCATCTCTTGTCACATTGTGATTTATAATGAAATAATAATAGCCTTTAATTTATCTTTTAAAAGAAATAATATTAATGATCAGGTGAATGTGAATGGTGACATTCACATTATTAATTAATATAGGTATAAATGGAAATGAAAAGACTATTATTTTTCAAATAATAGTATATAATAAGTTTAAATATTTGAAGATCGTCACATCTCATTGTTCTCCAAATAATCCAGTCAGACACATGAAATTCAAAAAAAAGGTTTGTTTATTATTCAAATATCATTTGATAATTGATTTTCAATATATTTACCAAAAATAAAATACATGTGACCTTGTTATATGATTATGATGTTATGTGTATGTATACAACAGCATTTTAAAATAAACATTTGGATTAGTAAGTAGATGATTATGGTCAATGCTTAAATTCTAATCTATCTTGCTGAAGAAATCTGATGGTTGAAAAAAATGCTTTTTTTTTTTTTAAACAAATCAAAATTTATTTTTTCATCCTATGAATAACAATAAATCAATTGAAATTTCCTTTTCTTTATATATATGTTCTATTTCTTTTTCAAAAAAAGAAAATAATTGTTTATTGATATGTAAAATTTCACATGTCGATTTAAGTTGCTAAAACTTTAACTTAAAAAAATTAATTAATATAGTTTTTTTAATTGGTTCATTTCTTAATGTTATTATATTATTCCTGATTTTATATAAAAATGTTATACAACCGTGTTTTTTCAGGTGATTTTCAAACAAATGTTTACAATCTGAATGCCTAATTACTCTAATTACTCATAATATTTTCACATTTTTTTTTTATAAAGTAGACTTATCATCGATTTCCCCCTTTTTTATTAAAAAATTTTTTCTAAATTTAAATTTTTTTTTTAAAAAAAAAAGAAAAATAAATACTACTTCATTCGGTTTGCTGCTGATTTTTTTTTTATGACAAAAGTTTTTTATTTTTAATTAATAAAATAATAATAATTATAATTATTATTATCAAGAAAGAGAAGTCTTTTGCTCCAGAATTCAAAAATACACGTACACACACACACACACACACACACACGATAATTAAATAATTTATTTATTTATCAAAAAGAACTTTTTTACGAATTTCATATCCATCCATCTTAACGATTAATAATACATAACATGTCGCTGGACGGTAAAAAGAATATTTATTATTTATTGTTGTTTATTTATTTATTGTTTATTATTATTGTTCCTATAATAATAATGTTTTATTTACATTTGCATTCTCTCCCATCAATATTTTCGCACACGTAAAATTAGAAAAACACCAAACTAATGGTATTAAGGAAGTTGATGACAAGCACCACCAAATAAACGGTATTGACGAAAATGAATCAGTATTTATGAAAAAAATGTTGGGAATACCCGCAATCAATGACATGCATAACTTCGCCAAGGAGAGTAAATACGGAAAAATAGGATACCAAATGGTTGGCTCTGCTGGCAACATTGTATCAAAAGCTACCAAACCTTTCCAAAATCAAATAAAACAAGCAGACGAATTTGCCGCAAATTCTATAGGTTATGTCGAAGGTAAATTCCCATCTATCAAAAAACCAACGGCAGACCTTGTCGATGATTTAAAAAAGCCCATAGCTACGGTTGGTAATACAATCGACAACAAATGCATCACCCCAGCAATGAATATTGCCACAAGTGTCCAATCGCAAATCAATCAACGTGCCGTTGAACCTACAATCGAGATCGCTAAAAAGGTCGATGCCAGTTTCGAAAGTGTCGTGGATGTGTTTGAGTCAACACTTAACACTTATTTACCCGAAGATCAATCCACTAATGAAAGATCCGTCAACACCACCACAGTTGACGACTCCACTTCTGCCGATCTTCTCCAAACCTTCCGCGCTATCAACATAGCTTTAATAGGTCAAAGACGTCTGACTAGACGCGTCAAGGCTCAAATCAACAGCACTCAAGAATATACAGGAGAACAACTTAAGCAACTGCAAGAATCAAACCAACTCTTAAAGAGTGCATCTGAAACCGTAGCCAGTCTGAATCAAATGTTGCTTGGCATTGTCGTCAATGTTCGAGGTACAGTACAAAATCCTGAAATTGCTTCAACTCTTCATTCTAAATTACACGACATTGCTTCTATAATTCTTGGCAATGTGAATAAAAATGAAGATTTACCAAAAGCTGTTCAAGCTCGTGTAATTGAATTATCACAATCACTTTTGCAAACAACTGATTCGATTGCCACATATGTCCGGGCAAATGCAAACTACTTTCCTGAATACATTCGTTTAAAACCCCTCACAGAATTCTTTGAACAACGATACGTCGAGATCGTAAAAGAAATTAAAGAAGGTGAGGGTTCTCCGATTGAGAAGGCCAGAAAAGTCATCAACATCACCACACAACACACAATACCACTTTTGAACGATCTCCAAGAATCCGTCCAATCGTACAGCTCATCTCTCAATGATTCCTTCATCAACACCACCGGAAAAGTAAAATCAAGATTCGTCGGTGTCAATTAACTAACCAATGACCGTGGATATATATATATATTACAATAAATAATACATATTTATTTATTACTATTTATTTATTAAATTAACTAGTCGCGCTTTTTTGATCATCATTGTCGACCGATTACTATATCACATTATCATTCCCCTTTTTTTATTTATTCCTACCACCACCACTCTAATAATATATTTATGTAAGAATGAATGTGTGTGTAAATGTATTTGGTGAAAAATAGAGGCTCATTTTTTTTTTCACCAATTAAAATAACAAAATTTTATCATTCCTCCCTTCTTTATTTTTTCTTTTGCCATTTCTCTTCCATCATTTCATCGTTATTATTTTTTCTTCTTTCATATATACATATACATTATACATATACATATATATATATATACATATATACATATAATTGGTTCATCGTAACACATTCAAAATTTTTTTAGTTTGTTCTACTTTTTTTTCTTTCTTTATTTTTGTTAAATCAGAGGTTGAATAATAGTAATAGTAATTTTAATATCAACGCTCATCTTGAATTTTCTTCCGCGACGAGGAAAAAATTGGCATTAACATTTAAAAAAAAAACTTTTACAAATACTACTATTTTTCCTCTTACATTCATTCCTTATATTATATTCATAATGATAATATAGCAAGATTGATTTTTAAAATAATAAATAAAAAATAAATAATACTGTGTATTAAAAAAAAATTGTTCCAATATTTCTAATATTTAATTAATATACACTACATAGACAGAAAGCTAGCAACACACGTTTAAAAATTATTAGCACAAAAACGTACATAATAATAATTAAATAAAAACTGTCATTTCGTATCTTAGGTTCACCAAATTATATATGTGCAAAGTTTCACATCTCTAACATTTTCACTAAACCAATGGTTAAAATTTCCGACCAAAAATTTTTTGGACAAAAAATGATTGCCCTCTATATTTTATTAGCTAACATTTTTACATAAAAAATGATACCTCGTTGCAAAAAAATTCAAGTCAACACAGCTGTTTAATAAAGATGTCTGTTATCACATGTCAAAATTTCAGATATGCATATTTGAACAAACAAATTTTTTTGAAATGAGCAATGTTTCGTCAAAAAATTTTTGGTCAGAATTTTATTTTTTTTAACCATTGGTTTAGTGAAAATGTTAGAGATGTGAAACTTTGCACATATATAATTCGGTGAACCTAAGATACGAAATGAGTTTTTATTTAATAATTTTTAAACGTGTGCTGCTAGCTTTCTGTCTATGTAGTGTATATTATGGATAAAACCTATATTTTTTTTTACTTAATCATTGTCACCATACTTGGAATACGGCCAAGAATTGATTGAAACATCAGACCTTGGTACATTTTGCATGTATATTACTCATACTGGTACGATTTTTTTTTTTTTTTGAAACAATTGTATAGTAACTTGTGCGGGTTTTACATTTTAAACGTACAACGATGATGGCGGTTGTAATAAATGGCAAAATATAATTATTTTCATTAAAAGAATTGGAATCTGTTTCTTGTACGCAAGTAAAATGTTTCGACAATCATTTAGTCGACACCCATTTCGTCGACACCCATTTCGTCGACACCCATTTCGTCGAAAGTTTGATTCATCGAAAGTTCATTTCGTCACAAAAAAAAAGCTTCATTAAACAAATTTCTCCTGACACTTCCCACACACCCCACTTTCCTCACCTAATTTCTTAACTAACTTCCCACACTCCTCACATCTAACTCGTTCGGTCTCTGGCTCGAGGACGAAATAATTTTCGACGAAATGAACATTCGATGAAACAAACTTTCGACGAAATGGGTGTCGACGAAATAAACGCGGCCGATAAATTAATAGCAAATGAAAACTTGGACGAGTTTTTTACTCTTCACATCCGCCAAACCCTCACGACAAAAACTGCGGAGTCGTTTCTGGCTAACTTCCTTGTTATTTTAAATTAGATGTGTCTAATGAGGAGCTTGTGTTAAACTTTGGTATAATAGTTGGTCTCTTAGTTGGATCCATATCCCAACACATCTGCATCATTTGCACATAATCATCATGAATAAGCAAAAATGTTAATTCTATCTTTTAATGTTAAATTTGAATGATTTTTTTCTAAATAATCTCTTAAATTCCCTTGTGGAAGATGATTCAAAACCATCGCATAATTTCCATCATCTGGGAATTTAGTTATACCATAACAAGGAACAACTAAACATGAATTAATTTTACAATGACTCAATAAAATTAATTAATTTAAAAAGATTGTCATGGATTACTTGAATTGTTTAATGATTTTAAATACTACATACTGAAATCCAAAATAGCTAAATTCCCTTTTATTTTTATCATAATCAACAATGCTTCCTCTTGTCCACACAACAGTGTAAATTGAACGAATCCACCTTCTGTTAACTTTTTTATATTTTCAAATTGTCCATAAGATATCCATTCTATAATATGCATTGGAAGAGACGAAAACTGCTGACATTCTTGAATAAAACCATCAATAATCCTATTTCCAGATGTCCAAGTAGGACCCCTGACAATTATAATTGAGGTCATAGGTACTATGTTTTGGCGCAGTAATTTTTTTGAATCATATTGAGCGCATGATTGGTAAAGTTAATGTCTCCAAATCTTATAGTAAATAATGGTTATTTTAAAGAGAAGAATCTTTTAACATGGCTCTAATGATTAGACGTCGTGTAACATTGGTGTATTTTGATCATTTTTACCCCAGTGTAACAGGGTTCCTAACCGTCAGTTCTATGGAATTTTGATGTCAAAAATATATCTTTATAAAATAAACTCTTTTTACTATGTCAAGTTAGATATTGTGTAAAGTTTTACAGCATAGTACCTATGACCTCAATTATAATTGTCCAAGTATTGAAAAGACTCTGTAGGTGTAAACCAATACACTTTTCACAAAGTCTATCAGAGTATCTTGTTGTTTTACACTCATTACATTCTCTTGGTTTTCCCCATTTATTGACTGCATTATCTAATTCAAATGTACAAATAAAATTTTCTCTACAAAATCCTTTTTCATTTTCTAAAAGTTCTTGTTTTCTTCAACTAATTGTGAAAAACATCTTTTTTGATTTTCTCTGTCAAAAGTAGTTGAAACATTATTATTCATTTCACGATAAATTTCCAATACTAATTCTCTTCTGCCTTGTGCTAATAATCTTTCAAATACCATTCCTAGATTTATATTTATATTCTTGGCTTTAAAAGTTTTTAAATAATTTTGTTACTTTTATTTAAAAGGGCGAAAATTTTTTTATCGGGGAAAAAATTAGCAGTAATTTATGGATCACGAAAGTTGCACGAAAAGAAGGAAACACGAAAACACGGAAACACTGATCGAGAATTCAAACCAGTCCAACTTGATAATCAATATAACTCACGGAAATTATCAAGAAAGATTATTCTAATGTAACGCTTCTTTAATTCTGAATTCAAAATCATTTGTTAAAAAGAACTTGGAATTATTCTTGAAAGTTCTTGTTTATTTTTAAGGAATACATTTAATTAGAACAAATTAAGAGTTCTTGGAGAACAAAGAACTAATAACATCATCACAACAATAATAAATAACATACCATCTTTATCCTTGGCCTTGTCCTTGTTGTTGTCTTCGAATTTTATATTTTGTGATGATAATAAATCCATCTCTAATAATGAATCCATATCCCGTGCATAATTAATCTTATATTCGTTACTATATTCTACATTATTTTTTTTTAATTAATTCCTATCTTAACAGAGGGAACACCTTTGCTAAATATGGTTGTATATATTTTTATTTCTTTTTTTATTTTAGAAAACAGACACTAAGTAGATACCTAAGACCAGCAGAAACTTAGTTAAGGCCAGAAGAAGATATTAGGCCGAAACTATTAAAGTAAAGCCCGAAAGTACGAGGTCAAGTATATTAATAATTTGGACGTTCCTGGCTCAGACAGATAAACAAAGAGTATCTGCTGGGAAAAGCGTGATCGGGGGTAATGAAAATTATTACCAGAAATTATTAGTGAAAGACATTATTGAAATTATTGATTATATTGGTGAAGAAAAGCAATCGCATTTTAGGATTAGAAAATTAGAGTGTTGAAATTATAAATAAAGTGATACTCGGACACGATCTCATAGTCAAAGCTCGTTAAATTCATATTCAATAAATTCATAATCGCTTAAATTCATAATTTTTCAGGAATCAATGCCAATTATATTAAAGTTCTATTCGATAATAAAATCTCGATAATGGATAAAATCATAATTCTCTTACTTTTATTATATAAAAATCTTGCACTTTAAATTCATGTCTCTAACTATTGTTATTACAGTAAATTAAATTTTCTTCTCTAACTATTGTTATTACAGTAAATTAAATATTTTCTTCTCTTGTTAATATAAAAAATGAATTCAAGTTTTGAAATTAAGAGTAAAAATACAGATGATAATTGACAAAAAAAACAATTTCTTGGATGTGCAAAGAGCTTTTAGTTAATAATAATAATTGGGAATTTTTCATAATTACAATTTTTTTATCAAAAATCTTATTTTTTTATCAAAAATCTTATTTTAATAGAAAAAATCTCTATAAATCCGTATATTTCCTGTCCTCATCATATCATAGTAACTCTCGATAATGACATAATTCGATAAATTCATAAAATTTGTTGTGACAGACCTATGGATTGACTGTATTACAAACATTATTCAGCCAATTGTAGAAAGTCCATTCTAGTAAGTATCTTATTATGTCCCTATGAATACAGAGAGAAATATAACATTAATCTTTCACTAACTTTCGTAGGGCTGTGGTGACTGTGCATATGGACTGCCCACATGTTATTATTATTATTACTATGTAGTTATCCGCGAAACATATCCGCGATTTTGCAAATTTCTCATGAGAATATAATATTCGATTCGTGGTTATTATTATTAATATCTAATTAACAACAGAGATGCATGTGTTGCCTAACATAAAAAAGGAAATTGTGGAAATTGACAATAAATCTTATTATTCTTTACTTGTTATAATTATGTAGTTAGCTTGCAAATAATTGTGGCTAACCATAATGAATATGGTGAAGGAAATTAAACAATAATATTATTTTCTTTTATTAAACATTTACTTGATAAGTAAACATCATTAATTAAATTGACAATAATGGAAAGGAAAGGAAATTGTGAAAATTTTAATAAATTATTTTTATTAAATTGACAAAAATGGAAAAATAGAAATTTTGAAATCTAAAGATAAAAAAATGTCAATATTGTTGTTTAAAAACCATCAGGTTATTCGTTTGTTGAATGAAGATAATTAATAAAAATGAAAGCTCAATAAAATTTGATTTTTTTAAAAAAAATCGATTCACAAAACACGAAGCAAAATTAAATTTCTTTAAAAAAATCATTCACAAACATAAAGCAAATTTAAATTTTTAAAAATCAATTAATCTCTCGGTCAAAACGAATTTAAATGCAATCACACAATTGATGCCATTACTTACTTTGTGGATAGAATTATATATATATGTATATAAATTTATTTCTTATTTATTATACTTATTATTTTTTAAATATTAATAAAGCTTCAAATTTTTTTTTTAGAAATAAAAAAATTGATGCAAAAGAAAGCAAAAACTAATAGACTAAAAATAACCATATAACAATAAGTTAAAGAAAACCATATTTTTTGATTTCTTAATTTTTTGGAAATTCGCGGAAATCGGCAAATGTGTTTGCTTAATTCGTGTTTCGACAATCATGTGAAAATCATTACCAAATTTAGTCGTGAGATTCAAAATATTGTAACACGAAAATTATTGTTGCACTTGAGACAAATTTTTTTTTTAGATTAATAGACTCCATTTTTAAAGCTGAATTGAATGGTGGTGAGTTTTTAAAATCCAATGTGTGGATCACATAATATTTCAAAAATTTTAACTTTTGAGTATAGATGATCCGCACTGTAGTGATCTGCAGCGATAAAAATTTTCCCTCAAAATGGAATCTCACAATTAAAACCACCAACGCATATTAACACATATAAAAAAACATAGTAATTTTTATTTCCAAAAGGTTATATTTATTCTAGCATATATTATGGATATTATTTATAACAAATAATAAGAGCTTTAATAAAAAAATGAATTTTGATAATAATAAAAAGAATAAAAAGACAATGGTTGACATATTTATATTAAATATAAAAAAACTAAGCTTTAGGCAGAAGATTTATTGTTTAAAAGGGTTTTTCGTAATAAAACCCACATTCTATATGTTTAGTACAAAAAAAAAAATTTTTTTCTCCATGTTTTTTAGCATTTGGAATCTTGCGATACTCAATATAAAAGTTAGAAAAAACAAAAAATTATACATATGTAAACTCGATAAGTCGGTTTTGGCCCAACTCGGCTAAAAATTTTTCACCCTTTTTTTTACTATTTAAAAAAATTCGATAAGTCGCGATAAGCGCTAAGAAAGCTAACGTGTGAATTAAACCAATTACCTTTTGAATTTCTTCAAAAATGCGCTGTTTTACTTCGAGATTGTGGCAGACATAATAATAACAAGTAATCACATTGCCGAAAGATTTTTTTTAGAATTAGAATTTAACCAATCAAAATAATTCAATCACCATCTCGATCTTTATTTTTTCATTCATTAGAATCAGCATTATTGCTTTGGTCCTTCCCCTCCCTGATACGAAAATTCTCTTGAAAGCTTAAGTTCGATCTGGGATATTCAATCAATAAAGATTTAAATAAATTCTTTATATATAAACTTTAACCTAGTATCCGAGAAGCTCTCTTGCACATTCATTTTGGTTATGTTACTTGAACCGCACACCTGTTACCATTTTGCTTGACCCGGACCGTTTCTTTCCACAAACTCTTTACCAGTGATTCCGACCTCAGCTGATAATGGTCACAAATCATAACACTATACTCTAACATATTGATTTATTTATCTGATGACTATTTGAGCGTTTTTTTCTAGATATTTACAATCGATCGTTTATTTTTTATGCCTTCAAAAAAGTCTATTGAAAAAACTATTTATAAAAATAACTTTATTTAGATTTGTCATTACTGTTATTAGATTAAATTAAATCAAATCACACTATACAACTCTTTCTAACTCGTTAATAAACATATATCTTGAAAATCTTAAATATAAATAACTAAACCAAATTAATTGACTCTTGTGACATTCAATTGCTTTTACTGTTTGATAAAATTGTTCTTGTGATGAAACAAATAACATCAAATTGTTTAAAGAAGATGAATCTAATTCTTTATTGGTGGTATCCTTTGATGAAATATGACGAGGTGATGATATGAAATTTAAATAAGTTAAAAGCGAATCAAATATTGAAATGTACTTCCTTATTATATTAACTGTCACAAGTTTATATAAAATAAGATTTGTTTCAGGAAATGCTTTGATAAAATGTCTAAGAGATTAAATAGTCAATATTATTATCATTGTTATTAATGTATTAAAAACAAAATTCTCTTTTACAAGTATTGTTTTTGTTGTATATTCTCACCTTGCACCATTATAAGCTGAAATATGATTTAAGTGGTCAGAAATTCCTTTATTGTCAAAAGTTATTACCTAAAAATACCATTCGTTAATCACGCGCGAGTAATAAATTAATAATCTCTTGTTTCTGATTAATCAATTAGTAATTTACTTACAACTTCTACTCCATTTTTAATAACGTAATCTTTAATTATATTTGAAATTAATGCTGGATCCCAATGTTTTGTTGGATTATCTTGTAATAATCTATTATTATAATAATGATCATGATTAATAACCGCCGTCGTAATCATGATAACAATAATAAGTATAATATATAACATTTACTGGTGATTTTCTATATTAACATGAGTTTTTTCAATTCCAAGTCTTAAACAGCTCTCTTCCAATTCTTTTGTTCTAATTTCGCCCATTCCTGATTGATTTCCTAATAACAAAATAATAAGATAAATAACAAATAAATAACAAATAAAAAAATAAATAGTCATAATATGTATGATAAATAACCTTTTATTTACCATTAGATAAACATAAAACAATTATATCATTTTTACATTTTAAATTTAATAAAGTTGGTCCAAAAAACATACATTCATCAACGGGATGAGAAATTAGTAACAAAATGGTTTTTTCCTTTAATCCATTAGCTTTGTTAATTTTATTTGAAATTTTAAAATAAAATAACAATGTAAATATAATCAAAGTGAAAAATATAAAAACAATTAAACTTGAAATCATTTTATCATTAATATTATTAAAATGGAAAAGAGAATTTTTTTTTAAAAAAAAAGGGTTTTACGTCAATTTATAGATTCAAGAAATAACTTCAAATTCACATGTTTCATTCATTTGTAATTTCAACATGTGACCCCTAGTGTTATATATTAATCAATTAAAATTCATTTTGGAATAAATTTGTTATAGTAGGATTATGATTGTACGTGGAATACCTTTATATAGAATAAAATCCGCGCGGAGATATTGACATAATAATAATATTCTGGAAAACTTTATTTATTATTATTGTCAAATTAAATATTGATGCGAATTTTAGTTTTTATAATTACGCGGATCGATTATCTTTATTAATTAAAAAAGTAAGTTTTGTATTTGGCATAATAAAACGACTATGAATTATAAATGTTTCGTTATCAAACAATGATTAATGTCATTAATATTAGAGTAAAAATACATTCCCAAAGAATAAACTACTTCTCGTGGTATAATATGAATTGTAATGCCTCCTCTTCACATGAAAAAATGTCGTTGTGATACTGGAAGATAAACCTTAATAAAATTATATCTAAAAAAATTCTGCTGGCTTTTCTACCCGTGCATGTCGTTGCCCACATTTCTCATAAAATGTGATTCTTTTACCCGAATAAAAATCCATTCTTGCAAAATGAATAAATTTTTGAAAGTTAGAGTATGAAGTAAAATGTTATTGGCGTGAATCATAAGGAAATTTTTACTATTACTCACTATTTTGACTTCTCATTGTTTTTGGTAAATTTTTTTATTAATAATGCGAATTATAATGTAACCGACTGTAGTGTCCTATAGCTGTTTATCATCAAACATATATTATATCAAGATAACAAATTATTATTATTGTGTGTGTATTTTTTAGTATCTTATCATATTATATATGTAATATATATATTTTTAAAAACGTAATTATAACTTTAAACCGTTATAACTTTTTTTTTTTTTATAATAAAATCGAACAAACCTTTTTATAACTTTATTGTTTAAGTATTCTATAACAAAGTTACAGAGAGCCTTTCGGTTATAAAGTTTATCTATTAACGAATTTTTCAATATCTTGGCTATATAAAAAATTTTTTTTTATTTAGTAAGAAAAAACCTCACTGTAATCTAAAAGCTTGACCTATTTTCCCTTAGTTTCATGTTTATTTGAAGAATTTTTTATTTATATACAGTCTACTCTCTCTATAACGACCCTCTCTATAACGACCACTAAGTAAATTTTCTCTATAACGAACTTCCCTTTTGTCCCCGTTTCAATTTTTTATAATTAATTTCTCTCTCAATAACGACCAAAAGCAGAGAAATTACATATAGGGACAGAGAGGGTCGTTATAGAGAGAGTAAACTGTAGTTTTTATTATTGATCGGCACATTTCACACCCCAGTAACCGAGGTGGGTTATAATAATCTGTAGCACAACGTCCAAAAAAAACATGCATATCGAATACATGAAATTATTATTAACTCTCATCCAATAAATAGATACAATGATAGTAAATGAGAAAACAGGATCTTTTTCAAATTTCACAGAGCAGCAACTGGAACAGCAGGAACAAGATGCAGATGATAAATTAGAAGAAGGTGGTGGTAAAGTAAGGGAAGGGGATAAAAAGAAAAAACCTTGGAATGAAGAAGAAATGTTGATACTTTTGAATTACATAAAAATCTATTATGAAATGTTTAAAGTAAATAGATCATTATTTTGTCGAAAAATACATAAAGAGAAGGTTATCAAGGCAAGAAGTATTGCTGCAATTCAAAGAAAAATTCAAATTGTGCTCAAAAAATATGATGACAAGGAATATAATTGGAAATGGTATAAATATGCAGAAGAAATTTTTGGTAATAATAATCATAATCATAATAATGATAACAATAATGATAATGATAGTGATGATGATGATAAACTTGTGTCAAGTAAAGATCAAAAAAAGATTGGTAATGATGAGGTAGAGATGGTAGGAGTGCAGGTTGTTTTAGATGTTGATAATCAAAAAAGTGTTCAAGAACCTGAAGAAAGAGATAAAATTAACATCCAAAATATCAAGAATAATAATAAACGACAATATTTTGATAGCAATAATGATCCTGCTTTAATCAGTAACAAGTCTAAGAGTAAAAAAAACAATTTACCAGCAAAAGTAATTGCAAAGGCAATCAGAGAATTAGCAATAAGTAAAGAAAGGATTTGGAGAGAGAAGTTAAGATTGGAAAGTGAGAGAAGTGATAAAATTTATGAGATACAAAAAAGAAAAAATGAAGTAGTGAAACTTAAATTGGATTTTGAAATAGAACAATTTCAACTGGCAAATAATATTAAATTTAAAGAATTGGAGTTGCAACAAATGCATTTACAACAAAAACATCATCGTTAAATTTTATAATTTTCAATATATAAATTGTATTGATTTTAAAAAGTCAAGAAATAAAATTAAACATGTACATCAATTTAATACTATTTTAAAACTAAATGTTCCAAAGTTCCAGATAATCCACTTGAAGCAACTCTATTCTAAGGATGGTGATTGGTGTATTTTTATATTTTTTAGAAATAATTGGGTTTCCTTTAACTAAAAGGAATCTTGATGCAAATTGTGTGTGTGTGTGTATAATACATTAATATGTCCACTGTATACTTAGCCTAGGCAATTATAAGCAGTTCAGTGATTATTGATGAAATAATAAATTTGACTTAATTAAATAACCTAATCAAATATATTTACATGAAAAACTTTTATGTCTTTAATATGCTCAACTTTCTAGGTCCTTGGAGGTTTTTGGTTAGCTGATTGTGCATCAATTAAATATTATAATTTTGTAGTATATTGTTTTTCTTAATACAACATCTGAAATCACAATAATTTCTACATTTCCTTCTAGATAAACAGGCCAGTTTGCCAATTCCATCATTCTTTGTACTGACTGATAAAAGATGGATCTAAAAATATGAAAATGGTGATTACTCTTACAGCTTGCTTGATTGAATATTCTTCTTCACAAAATAAACTATTAAAAAGTGTCACATATACTTTCATGTATTTTTCTTGGGAGTAATTTTTATTTAGAATAAAAAAACTACAAATAAATTTATACCACCATACTTGCAAAATTGTATATTCAAAATGTAGCATTGAATGAAAGCTTAATTAAAACTTATCCTTTCACTCTAAAGTGCTTAAATTTTTAATTGATTATTTTATTTATTTGGATTTTTTTTATAATAAAACCTTTGAAATAAAAAAATCAAAAAAATCAACATCTACAGTAGTTTTTAAATATAAGCTATATTTTAATAAAGGTTCAAATTCACAAGTACTTTCTTTATGTATGCATACCTAGAAATTCAATTGCTTTATTGACATTAGATATCCGTGATGATTTGGTGCTGGTCTTTGACAATAATACTGGATATCATCAAATTCTACTTTAAAAGTCAAATCATTCTAAATATAACAATTGTTACAGATCAAAGTGCATCTCATTTCTTATGTGGTGATGAGCTATATGTTCAGTGGAAGGATTTTCTGGCAATTCATTTTCCTGTGGGTTGGAATGGAAATTGGATTAATATCAAAAAATTTCAGGTTCATTAAAAACAAAACAGTCAGTCTTACACATCTAAAGAGAATATAGTTTGGGTTTGTTTTCAATATTTAAATATAAAGGCTCACTTTTAATCAATAGAGCCCACCTGTCATATATCTCTTTTTGCTCCTTGTTGTTTAGCCATTAGTTTAACTTTTGGGATGATACTGTTGCAATAGTAAAGGTAGTTGCACTAATGATAATCTTGATAAAGAACCAATTCAATAAATATTAAAATTTTATGGCCATGTCATGCACATATTTTAGAGTTTAACAACGAAAATTTTGAAATTACATAATGATTGAACTAATGATATTATACAGAGGGCAAAGTTTGTTATAAGAATTTGAATTTTGAATTTTATTAAAATTATAACAAGAAAATTGATGTCATTCTTGCTTGTAATTTTCCTATGGTATTCTTGAATATCCATAATCATATTACCCGTCAGACGAAACCCAAGCCAAGAAAATCACGGACAGTGGTAGCACTTGAAAATTTGGAATCTTGATAATACAAATAAATGTTCACTTTGTCTGGTTTTGTAATATACTGGTTACACTATTCATCGATCGTCTAAAATAGTTGACCCTCGTCTCTGCATGATGACATTTCGCTTGACTAAACTAATTTAATTAAGACCATGTGTAAAAAAATTTAATTTAAATATTAACCGGCAATAATAATAATTTCCTTCATCTTTTCATCTTTTATATATTTATAAAGAAAATATACATGTGTAAAATAGATTGTTGATTGATCAAGACCCATTGTTTTTTTTTAAGCTTTAATAAAAAAATATTTTTTCACTACTATTTTAAGAAGTCACTTTCAAAACTTTAATATACCTTTAAAACAATGCAAAAGCTGGCTTTACGCATATTAAGTCGATTTTCTCGTAAATCATTCATTCGTAGCGCTTGGAAAAATTTAAATAGTTTGAGCGAACACGATGAGTTAGCAGAAGCTTTAGAAACTTTAATATCAATGTCTCACGAAGGTAACGATTTATTTATTATCTTAATTATTATATATGATAACTAGTTTAATTAAACTAATTCAATGCAACTATTGTTAGAAAATGAATTTATAGAATTAATTACAGTAATTGTAGATGTTCTTTCAGAGGCACCAATGGCATCAGCTTTTTTATGTCATATAATCGGTATTATACTTGTTATTGTTATTATTACATTATTATTATTATTATTATAGATATTAATTATTATTTATTTATTTATTGATAATAGATAGTGCAGCCCTACCCTCAAAAGAAACATCTCATAAAATAACATCAAGGTTACTCCAAAAACTTAAACCAGGTACTTATACACTTATAAATATAATATAATATATACATTATTAATTCATGCAATTCACTTGTGATATATTTTCATATATTCATCTATCTATTTAAATATATATGTATGTAAAGGGGGCATATACAGAACAAAACCAAAGAGAAGAACACGTGTTAATGCATCAACAATTTGGAGTGTTCTTGCTGAGAAGTTGGCAGGTAAATTTGACAACATCAGTCTATGTCACTCCATATTATATTATATATTAATAAATAATATTTCTTTAAAAAAATAAGGCGAGATTAGTTTATCATTATTTTCGGATAGTGTATGTAACACACTATTGGATTATCTCCAATATGATAATGATTCCAGTGTACAATTATTTGCCCTGATTGCCTTGGAGAAATTTGGAATGACGGGACAGAATAAGGAAAAAATCTTTACTTCTGGCAAGAATATTTATAAAATTTTACAGACTATATCAAAGGAATTACAGTCCGATAATGGATTGTCTGCAGATAAGAATCGTCGAATGCAATTAAAATTTTGTGTAGAATGGGCTTTAAAAAATACATTTGGTACATTTTTGTTTGGTTTTTCTTTATATTTTTTTAATAATTAATGTATTTTCTAATTAATTTTGAATTTATTATTATTATTATTATTTCAGAATCTAATAATAAGGTACGACCTTTACAAATAAATACATTTAATTAATATTTATATATTATGAAACATTAAATACATAGCTAATAATAATACAGGAGGATTCATGGGATATATCAGCAGAGAGTTCTGTAAATTCAAATATTAACGTCATGCTAAATCCATTGGATGCTACAGCCCATTGGAAATTATCGCCAAACGGCTTAGAGGTTCTAATTATAATTTATTATAATATTGAATCTGGTTTTATCCTAATACTTAAATTTAAATAACCTCATATTTATTCAAAGTTAAGGAATGATTATTCGACGTTTGAGTCAATACGTGCGACGATGTCTGTTTCTTCAGGGAAATGGTTTTATGAAGTGATATTATTAACCAATGGAATTATGCAGGTTCTTAATCCTCCTTTTTTTTAAAAAAAAATTTTTTTCATTAATAATTTATTAATAATTATACATTTATTATAAATAATATTATTAAAACATAATAAAATAGATTGGTTATGCAACTAAACGTTGTATGTTTGGACCTGAAGAAGGTACAGGTGTTGGTGATGATCAAGTTAGTATATACACACATATATTTTTATATATCATATTCTATGTTCAATGGCTCATTATATTTATAATAAATAGTATGGGTTTGCTTTTGATGGTTGTCGAAATTTCTTATGGGTAAGTGATGATAAACTCTATAATAAAATAGGTTGTTGTTGTTATTATTATTATTATTATTATTATTATTATTATAACATTTTACATTATTATATATATAGGCTGGCGGTATGTCTACATCATATGGAGGAAGCGAATCTTGGAAACCGGGTTATTATTTAATCTCTTTGATTCTTTTCATTCTTTAAAAATTTTCTTTAATAATAGTGTTGTTAATAATAATAACAATAAATATTTTATAAATATTATTAGGAGATGTCATTGGTGTATATATGGATGTTAGTCTGGGCTGTGTTCGATTTTATTTGAATGGAAAAGATTTGGGTGTAAAATACCCTTTCCATTTTGCACAATTTAGAAAGTTGGCTGAAAATGGATTATATCCAGCTCTTTCATTTACATCATACCAACAAGCAATTATAAATTTTGGAGCAGAAAAATTCCGGTAAATAAAATAAATAAATATGGCAATAAAAAAAGAATTTTGTTTTTTACAAAATTTTCTTTATTAATAAAATTTTGTTTTTTTAGATACCCACCACCACCATCATTTTTTTATCAAACATTTAATAGCCAGGGTCAATTGTCGTCAGAGCTACGTGATTCAATACAAAGGAGAAGTTGGCGTACGTCACGTTATCGCTCCGTAATATCGAACTCTGATTGGAAGCAACAATTAGAAGCTACAGAAGAAGATTATGATGCTCAATGTTCAATTTGTTTTGCCATGCCTCCTAAAGTAACATTGGGCCCGTGTAACCATGATGGATTTTGTGTTGAATGCGCTAAAATGATGCATTCTTGGTATTATTATTATTATTATTATTATTAAATTATTTAATTTTCAATTATTATTATTATTATTATTTATTTATTTACTTATTATTTTATTATTAGTCCATTATGTAGAACACTCATTACATCTAGGAAGCCTAATAGTAATTCTAGCCTACCAAATACAATTACAAAACTTTCAATTTCCTCAACGTCCGCCTCATCATCCTTATCATCACCATCCACCGCCATAGTTTTACCACCAACTCCACCTTATTCACGACCTGCATCTTCTATTACTTCATTAGAACCTGATATTTCACGTGGGTTGGAGCAGTGACACTATCTATATATAGTATAAGTGTATGGATAATTATAAAAAAGGTTTTAATAGAAAATATTTTAATAAATATATATATAATATTATTTTCCTTGTTATTATTTTTTTTCATTGGTGGGATTTTTCTATTGTTTAGAATTTTTAATTAATATATATTTTTTAATTCAAAAAAAAAAAACTTTTAAATTCTTTTACTGATTTAAGTATCAAAACTCCTCGTTATTTTCCTTCCTCACCTTTATCTTTCTCTAATCCTCCCTTAATTGTAGCAAAACCAATCAAACTTTAAAATGATAATCAATAATAAAAATTTTGAATATACTTTAGCATACATATACTATTAATAATATGTGCGCGTGATTATTCCTCAACCAATCAATCAATTCTATTTTCTATTCATTTATATATTATGGGTAAAGATTTTTGTGTATCTGTATATAGAATATCATTCAATTAAAATAACCATAATTATTTTTATATACATTTTATTAAGTTTTACTTTTTATTTCTTTGCACATAATAATAATATTAATATGTATTTAGAAAAAAATTTATTTTTCATATCTGCAAGGTTACACCATTTTATACTGTTTTTGGGGTACATTTTTTGCTGTCTTGATATGTGTAACCAGCCCCTCGATTTGTTATTTTTGGAGTAAATTACATTCTTTTTGAATTCTACTAATTACCAAACCAATCACTTTTATTAGTAAACCAATCGCTTTTTTATATATACATATACAGTGAGTAGGATCTTGTAGGATCGCAAGTAGTTAGTTGAAGGATATTTTATTTTGTAATTTTGTAATTTGCTAATTTTTAAAATTTTATATTGTAGTAATGAATATTGAACATAGTGGTAACTCAGACATATGCAACAATTTATATAACTCAAAAGAATGGTTTAAATCAACACAAAGCACAAAACATTCCAATTTTCACAAGTATGCTTTAAATGTTCTCGCCCTTCTGAATATTGTTTTTCATAATTTAAAGGATCATTAATTTTTAATGACATTTCATCATAAAGTTTAGGGAAAAAAATCATTTACCTTTCCATGTGATGAGGGTATATTCCTAAGTGTTTTTAAAGACAACACTCAAAGATATCCACCTGTTGGACGTTTTTATTTGTTGAAGATGAAAATTAAGATGACAAGTTTAAATTTTTTTTTTATTAATTTAATATTTTTAATAATGAAAATAATTAATTAATTAAAATATATTTTAGAAATTAAAAATATATATATGCAATTAATTGTAAAAAGGTAATCTAATTTATAGTTATTTTTTTGGTACTTTATTAATTGATTATAATTATAATATAAAAGATGATTCTCATGTTCCAAAATTTCAATTACAGTTTTTTTTTCCCTTCCACCATCTTTCAATACTTTACTAAAATATTTACTTATTTGTATAAGATTTTTTTTTTTTTCAACAGGACTGCATGTAAATGCTTTAATTCTATAATCATGGTGAATCACCATAAATATCATACATATGATGAACCAACACATAGATATAAGGAGTCCCATCATTATTTGTATATAGTCCTTTTATATAATTTTTTTTATGTGGATCTCCAGTTGATGGTGTTAGAAATTTAGTCAATCATAATTTTGCTTGACTTTTGAAAACAATTGGATTTGTTGTTGCTCTATTTTCAGGTAAAACACTTTCCAAATTATAATTTTTTAGAACTTTTAATTTATCTCCACCCATAAGACTGGTATAATTCCAACTCCTTGAATCTGTACTTTGCCAGAATTCAAAATGTACACCAATTCTGATCATTTCTTTTTTTATTTGTTCCTTTATTTGATCAGAACTTTGGTATTTTGTTTCAGATAACATTAGACTCCAAAATCAGACAGTAATATGAAGCATTAAATGTAATTCATCTGGAACCCAATGAGTTAATGTAATCATAAAGAACAAAGGCAGATACTTATATCCTGGTAATTGGATTTTATTATTTCCATTTTTAATCAACAGACCCTTTAGCATTGAAATAAGTTTATCAACATCATTACACAGTGATCATTAGCCTGGTATTGGTTAATGCATTTATTAACATGGATAAACACTTTCAAAATTTCCTGATGTTAAAAAGAATCAAAAAAAAAGATAAAAATCATAAGATTATAAAATTAAATAAAAAAACCTGTAAGATTATAAACTAATAATAAAAAAATCATAGGATTTGAATATTTATGGCAATATGACAAATTCATTTAATTTTTTGGAGTGAGGTGAAATTCTGGTGGTCTAATTTGGATTTTGTACATGTGAATTGCAAATTCATTTTCATGTACAAACTGTAGGTGGAATTTATAAATATAGGTTTTAAATTTTTTAATATAATAATTTTTTTAACTAACAATTATGAATCAAAAAATTTTTAAATTTTTAATCAAGAAAACAATAATGATGATGATAACAACAACAACTTGGAAAATTGCATCATATGCAATAAATCATACAAAACAAAAAATGGTTCAGTACAACATGAAAAGAAAAAACACTTTGAATATTGTGGATATTCCTTCTCCTGTTCAATACTACTTGACAAAATTTAAAGAAAGTTTAATTTACAATATTAAAAAAAATTTGACATTACATCACAAAAGTTTAGGGAAAAAGACATCAACTATTCCATGTAGTGAGGGTGTGTTTTTAGGCGTTTTTAAAAATGATTTGGAAAGATATTCCCCTGCTAGAAGGTTGTACTTAAGTTCATTCATTGGAGAAGAAGGTAACAAAAGGTTAGAAAATTTACTTGGTGATGAGGATTGGTCAATTAGATATTTTGATAATAATCAATTTGCCTACATTGACATTGTTAATTTTGAGGCAAAGGTGGTATGGAAGGAAACAAAAATAGTAGAAGGGAATAGAAAAATTTACAAATTCTTCTAATGTAACCATTAATTTTTCTACAAATAAAGGAAGTTATTAAAAATTTAAATAATAATTTTTTTTCAAAATTAGAATTTTAAAAATTTAGGAAAATTTCTATGTGATCCCCAGATTATTGTTTTCCATATTTTTGTACCCCAAAATGGGTGCGCAAATCGGTGGATATGTGTTAATAAAAAATCTTCAATTTATTTGCATTACAGTAGACTCCTATATAGTCACAACATAGTCACATTTTTTTGTTAATTTGAAAAATTCCCTGCTACTAATTAATCATAGTAAAAACATGTCTTGTATAGTCACAAACACTATAGTCACCAAAATTCTTGAAATTTCACTATGTGGCTATATAGGAGTCTGACTGTACTTTACTACAGGGTCGGCATTGGTCCATTGATCGGATCCACCAGTATAATTTAACCATATTTAGTATTCCATTAAATTAAACCAGGTCAAAACTCGTTGTTCATATTAACAGTGTGTTACAAAAAAATTATTGTTTGTTACATAATAACAACAACTTTACTAAATTTGTCAAATAAAATTTAAAACAAAGGGCTTGTTAAATTATTTTGAACTGATCTGATATTTAATTCGCCTTTAAAATGCGTAATAGTATTGAATTTTACTGGGTTTGTTCGATTACATTATTATAATAAAGGGAATACGTTCACCCAACAAATTACATCGAATCAAAAGCACTCACTCAATACTCAAATAGCTTTCACTATTAACAGTTAATTTTTAAAAGAAATAAAAGAAATGAAATGGACACGTGGCACACACGATTAATTTTTTGGTATCAAAATTATCAAATAATGGGTTACTACAAAGTATGGATAATTCATCATAGAAACGTGATATCTAGCTCCTGATTTATTTCATAATCAAAAAATCAAGATGTCAATCTGTGAAAGGTATTTAAATATATTCAACAAAAAGTCCGTCTAATGAATGGGCTATTAACGGCGTTTCACAAATTTTTTCGTAACACACAAAATATTTAAATATTAAACAAACAAACAAGGAAATGCTTAATTTAAATAAAAGAGGAGAAATTATCGTAACAAAAGCTGAAACTCTTTTAGAAGAAGTACATAACAAAAACGAATTGGATCTTTTTAAATTATGGAATTTTTTAGATAATAATAATAGTGATAAAAGTTCAACGACAACTAATTTTAATAATTTAAAAGTAAAAACTATTAATAAACTTAAAGATGATAAGGTGGCCTTTAAAACGTTAAAGGAATCTATTGGTAGTGACGGCGATTTTTGGCCTTTAAGCTCTAGTCTGACTAAGCTGATAGGACAACAACAACAACAACAACAACCATCATCATCATCATCGTTATCAAGAAGTTATAATAATGGAATCTTAGACGATGCAATTTCTTCTCTTGAAAGTACTTCTACACTCGAAGATCTCAAAATTAAGATTAATAATACAACAATTAATGGGAATCAAATTACTGTGCTGAAAACTGCTTTGATATATCTTGCATTCTTAACTGGGAAATGGAAATGGGATCGAGAAGGAAGAATTCTTGATTTAATTTATCCCGCTTCTTTTGGCACTTTATCAAGTCAACAAAAATCCATTGCTTTAAAAACTGCACTTTGCCAGAACCATAATAATAAGGATAAAGTCATTCTCTATCAGCCTAACAGTGGTTATGTTTTTGGTGGTAATTTTTTTGGTACAATTTGTCGTGGCCTTGATTGTTCGTCTTTTGTGTCTTATTGTGTGGATTCTTCTGCAAGATTGAGTACGTGGCACATGAAATTAATTTATGAAAAATTATTAAATGATGAAAACAAAGATGTCAATGATGCAGTTGTGGAAAAGACTTTTTCAGAATTTGAAGCAATTGAAATTCGAGAAAAAATTGACAACACTATTCAAAAAGGAGATATTGTGATTTGGAGAGGATCATCCGGACATACCGCAATCTTTAAAGAGTGGATTTCTAAAAGTAAGCAGACTTTTTTAGGTATTGATAATAATCGAATGGATGATAAAAGTAGGGAGGGAATTGGTTTTACTACATTTCAATTATATAAAGATAACAGGAAAACTTTTGTTCTAAGAAAAAAATGATTATTTTATTTATTATTATTATTATTATTATTATTATTATTATTATTAACACTAATCTAAGAATGAAATGTGGTTTTTTAATGTATTTCTCTGGTCAAAATCACTATTTATTTAGAAAATAAAGTAAAATATAAAAAATAAGGAAAAAGATGACACAAAAAATTTTCGTGTTATATATTTCATATTGCATAAAAATCAGGTTTTTATACACATTTGTTACATAAATAAAATAAAATTCAAAATCAATTTTATTAACAGGTAAACAAATAAACAATTCAGTGTTTATTTAATTTCTTTTTTCATATAAAAAAGAATTGTTTTGACAGATAAAACGTTGTTGATCTAAAATTTATTGATGAATTAAATAATTAATTACAAGAGAAAAAAAGAATAATAAAAATATATGTGGTGTTTATATTTATTTTCCCATTTTTTGTTTTTTTGTTGTTGTTGCAGATGCTTATATTCAAGTGGTGCTTACATTCCAGACAATACGGTAATTATTTTTAAATGTGACGCGTAACACAGTAAAATGCCTTCATACAAAATTTTTCATTTAAACAACGTTATAAATTCTGACCGAGATACTTTAGCTTTAAAATATAAATGTTAGCTTGTAAATGATTTAACAAAATTGTTCTATGGGTCAGACTTGTATGACGTAGAATTTAGAGTTGGAGAAGATCAAAATGTTAAAACTTTTAGAGCTCATTCCAATATATTGAAAGCAAGGTCTTCATATTTTAAAATGGCTTTCTCAAATAACTAGATAAAAAGATCCGAAGATGGTATAACTATTCACGAGAAAAAAATTTTTCTCCGGTTATTTTAATTGTATCAAATTTTTTTTTATATAAGCTATTATTAATTTTTATTTTTGTTAAAAAATATTTTTTTAAAGATATGCTTAGAATGGAACAGTAAATATAGATGATCTTGATTTGGAAGCATGCGGTGAACTGAATTTTCATGAAATTTACAAAATTATTTAATCATCTAACAAGAATGGATGGATTCGTTAATCTTTATAAAATTTCAATCATTCCATTTACTTCAAAATTATTTTAATGCGTTTGCATGTAAAAATTATTATTTTTAAAATCTGATGATATGATGGCAATTAAAAAACCAATGCTTATATCCATATTGAAAAAAGACGGGCTAGAATTGATCCTTTGGAATCATGTTATTCAATAGGGAAAGAGGGCGATATAAATATTTGGAAAAACAAATTTCAGAATGGGATAAAAAAGATTTCAAAAAAAATTTAAAAATTTATTGAATGAACTTATTCCATTGATGATATTTCTTCTATATATTTTTATGATAAAATCAAACCTTACAAAGAAAGTTTTCGATAAAGAAAATTTTCAATATCACCTCACGAATAAATGTCGACCAAAATTAATTATTCAAAAGGCTCAAGAACAAAAGGAGGGAAATTATTAAATTTAAAACGAGGATTTTAATTTCCAATTGGATTTCCAAAGAATCTGCCGTATGAATTTAAACTGATTCTAGGTGGCACTCAGGATGGATTTTTTTGAACAATGAATGTTATAATATTGGGCACGCTGTAGTCATCATTAAATTAAAAGGAACCGACGAATTAATGTTACTATCACCAAATAATTATTATTCTGTCGAAACAAACTAAAATTTCATATTCAAGATTGATGAAAAACGATTTTAGATGAAAATTTTGATCTTTGACATCTTTATAAGCCAAATTAAAATTCCCATAATCTTTATAATTGGAGATTTGATTATTATGATTTTGAGACTTGATTTTGGCTAAAATTATTATTATTTATTGTTCTTTGGAAATCCAGTTGTTATTATTATTTTTATTACCATTAATACCATCAATCTAAGTAATGCAAAGCTCTAGATCTTCGGCGTGCAATATTTCACAATATTAATATATAATAGGAAAAAGGTAAATTAGTAAACAACTAAAATGGATTAAAATAAGGGCCGTTTATATTTTTCCAGGGTTTGAACAAAAAAGTGATATCTTTCTTTTTTTCTAATTTCCTTGTGGGGGATATAATAGTATATATTAAAACAAGATCATGATAATGCAGGGAATTATATATATATTTAATTATATTTTTTCTTCAAGATCTTTAAAAACCCACCATTCATTTTTTTTTCAAGTTTTATTCGTCATACCAGTGTTTATTTTTGGTAAGCAAAGTAAATATTTATTCAATAATATGATAAATTGCTAGTTAAATTAAAGTTTAATTTAATTCCATTCATTGAATTAATTTAATAATTAACTTTTATTGTTTTAATTATTTATTTTTCACTATTATCATCTCACGCTTAACCATCTTATATTTATTTTTAAAGAACTAAAAAGTCAGTGCAAACAATATTAGCATTATTCGAAGACCATGAACTTTTAAATGTGATCATCTTTCAGTTTGTCAATTAATGCAAAATATATTGTCTCAAAGAGATGCAGTAGCACACGACTTAATCTTTAAATAATTTTTAATAATTGACTATTTTATTATTATTATCATGCAACAAAAATAATAATAAATCCAAATTTAATCGATTTAATTCCAAAATTAAACTCGAATATGATAAATAAAAAACGTGAAGTTGTACGGTGTAACACTTGTTTATTAGACTATGTGTACATATATGTATATATATATGTGTATAAAAAAAGTGTGCATATGAATAATTTTTGGTAAGTAAAAAAAACGGAACAGTGTGAAATAAGTAACAAATAGTCAATAATATTTTTCTTTGTAGATTTGGTTACACGAGTCAAAAAATGTTCACTCAAAATAAAGACCAAGAAATTTATTATTTATTATCACTTCTATAATTATTATTTATTTATTATATATTCAGCAAATTACCATAACAAAATTACAACAAAAGTAATTCCACACTAATATTATAATATAACAACAATAATAATAGAAATAATAACACATACAACATTACTTCAAAGTAAACGTTTTATATTTTCCAAAAAAAAAAAAGGAAGAATAAATTTGCATAACTAGTTTTATAATTTCTACAGAATTATAAATATAATTTTTTTAGCTTAAATTTTTAGTAATTTAGTTCTTTTTTTAAAGAAAGAACGTATTTTTATTTTTTATTATCACATCACACGTCTTCAACTTTAAAATTAATAATATCACCACCAGTTAACAAAATATATTTACAAATGTCTCAATCAAAATACTCTTTTCCCAATCCAACTCCACCTCACGATTCCAATAAAACTTCCTATAAACCAATAACTTCTTCACTATCAACAACAACAACAACAACAATGACAACGTCGTCGTCATCATCATCGACAGACATAAGTCTATCATCATTAACACCACCTCCTATTCCTTCCCCAACAAAAGATCCTTTTTCTCGTTCTCTCGCTCCATTAGAACCACAACATCCTTCTATACCATCATATTTAAATACTCAAAGACGTGGTTCAATAACAGATCCTTCGCTACATTTATCGGTTCCAAATCCTGAATTATCAAGGCAATATTCACAACCTGATGTTCATTTTTCGTCAAATTCATCCGAACGTCGTAGTTCTTTGGCAAATGTAGATCAATATCCTCTCTCGCCATCATCCACCTTATCACGTCCATCATCTGTTAAAAGTGATCATCAGTTATTCTCTTCATTGGAATCACGTAAACTAAGAGATTCAACTTTGCCATCAATAAGTGCAAGTCCAAGTCCCGTGAGAGATGGTTTTCCCGGTTCATTAATGAATCCCGCATTTCAAGCACAACTACAAACAAGACGTCATTCTATTGCTGTAGGTGAGGTGGTTTCTCCACTCAAAAGAAAAAGTACAATCAGCGGATTACCATTACCATCACCCAATAATAATAATATTGGTGGTGGTATTAATAGTTTCAGTGGAAATGGTGGTGGTGGTAACAGTAGTAATGGTAATAATGGTGGTAGCAGTATTATTAATCACCATCATCAAATAACTGCTGATGATTATCCAGTAAAACGTAGAGAATCGATCGGTGATCCTGCTATACAAAGATTGTCTTTATATGATCGTAGAAGTTCTTATTCTGCTCCTTCTAGCCCTCCTGCACTTCCCTCTTTATCATCTAATTCAAATAATACTAACAATATAAATAACAACAATAACAATAGTAGCAGCAGCAGCAACAACAACAACAATAATAATGGCAATAGTAATATATTACCCAAACTTAATCACAACCATCATAATTCTTCCCATCGTCATCATAATAATTCTTCTCATCATTCGCATCATCCTCATCATTATGATGATTTATCATCAGATCATTCAACTAGCAATAACGGATTACCACCATCATCCTCATCTCATTTATCAGAACATAATGATTCATATCCACAACCACCACCGCCAACACCATCTTCTTCATCGTCGTCGTCAACATCACATCATTTTAATAACCCTAGATTATCGCAAATTGTTCATGATGAAAATGCTCCAATATTGGCCAGAAGAGCTTCTATGCCTATCATGCCATTTGGTTCAAGATTTTCAGACCACATTCAAGATGGTAACAGTAGTGGTGATGGTGGCACTAGCAGTAGTAGTAGCGGTGGTGGTAATAATACTATTCCTATGGACATTGATCGTTTTAGAGGCAATGTTTATTCACCACAACATCATCATCATCATGCATATCATCCTTATGCATACGAGTATTCTCCTGGATATATTCAACCACAACAACTTGTTAAAGAAACGCCTTATTCACGTTCGCCCGAGCTACGGATATCTCATAAACTTGCTGAACGTAAAAGAAGGAAAGAGATGAAGGAACTTTTTGATGAACTTAGAGATTCATTACCTGTTGATAAAAGTTTAAAAACAAGTAAATGGGAAATTTTAAGTAAAGGTGAAAGAATTAAATAATAATAATAGTTATTGTTATTATTATTATTATTATTATTATTATTATTATTATTATTATTATTATTATTATTATTATGATCTACTATTATTATTATGATCTATTAAAACAAATTTATTGATTTATTTTAATTTTAATTTATTATTATTATTTTTAATGTCAATTTTAGCGGTGGATTATATTAATAATTTAAAACAGAATCAAGATGAATCACATAAAGAAATTGAATCGTTAAGACAACAACTTTCTACACTTAAAGGTTGTAGTAACGATAATAACAACAGCAACAACAACAACAATAATAACCACAATAATCACAATAATCACAACAATCACAACAATCACAATCACAACAATAACCATAATAATAAACCGTCAATTTCGTAATGAGGATAATAATTTTTACAAATTTATTATCAAAAACCTTTGTTGCTCAAAAAAAAACCCCCAAAAAAGTGCTTGTCTTCTAAAGGAAAGATACACTAAATAACCAATTAATAATCTATAAATTTAATTAGTCAGTCAAAGGTATTCTTTTCAGAAATTAATTATTTTGTAAAATAATTTGAGGAAATGTTTTATATATATATATATACATATACTTTTTTTGTACATTCATTAATTCATCATTTATTTATTCATTAATCATTTAACCAAGTATTTAATCATTCATTCATTTAATCTTTTTTCTTTCCTTTATTTTAAAGACAAGTAAATATCTTTTTCCCTTTAAAGAATGACACACACACGCGCGCGCACGTATATATATATATATTATTTAATTATTTCTTTTATTCTAATTTTTTGTTAAATAGATTTTATCATATTTTATATTTTATTTTGATTTTTTTTAAAAAAAAAATCTAATAATGAATAATTAAATAAATAAAATTATCCAATTTAAAAGTAACTTCACAAGGAAAAATATGACTTATTTTAATAATAAAAAAAAAGGCGTGAAAGAAAAAAATGGTTACTGACAATCAAAGGGCAAAGAAAATCATTTAACAACCAACAAAGAGTAATTGTTAAAATTTGTACTTTGTAATTTTGCGAAGCGACCTAACCCATCAAAGAAAATAAAAAACAAATTTATGCAAATCATATACATTGAATTATCGCATAAATATTAAGGATAAATGTATATTATATATGTATTATGAAGACGATCCAATTGATTCGTCCATCATCTCATTCAGAGATAAAAGAATATTTTAATATTATTAATCCCCATCTCGCTTTTTTATTTTTTCTAAGAATTCATATCTTCTTTCATATTTGCTGAATAAAGACACACATATTATACTATATGTATATACAACGGATTCACCTTCAATGAGAAGTGAAATGTCAATAATCTTAAATAAGTCATCAGATTTCATTACTAAGTTGGATGAAAGGTAGTTATGAATAAATAAAATAATACATACAATTTTTTTTAAAAAAAAATCTAATAATAAATAATAATAAAAATAAAATAAAAAGTCTAATAAAAAAAAAAGTAAGAATAAAATAAAATAAAAATGCTAAAATGCGAAAACGATAATTAAATAATTTAATTAAAGTTGAGTTTTTATTCCAAAGATGATATTTGATAAAATTGATCAATCTATTTTTTATAATATTAGCAAAAAGTGTTAAATTATTAGTTAAAAACTTTAATAATCATAATATATATATAATTAAATAATAACCTTGGAAATCCAATCAATCATATCTTGCCTTGATGATGCTTGTAATATATATGCATTATTATTAGTATAAATAGCAAATACATTTTGTCTTTGAAGCATATTTTCTAAATCTTTTTTATAATCAACTCTAACAGATGCAAGATTTATTACACCTTGTTCTTCAGTTTCTTTTTGTGATTCATAAATAAATAAGTATGGTCTTTTAAAAAAAAATATTGATTAAATGTTTACAAAGATTAATATATTAGAATTATATCTATTATTCAATCAATCAATATCAAGTAAAAGTTTCAACATTACCTTCTTAAGACATACCAACGTTTCACCCAACAATCATCTGAATTTTCCGGAGTAGATAAACAACCTTTCTTGGTTATTGTGTCACTTTATTACCAACAAAAATAATCAAAAACATAATAATTAGCATATATTTTTTTTCAATTATAATAATAATAACCATAGTAACCATAGTAGTGAAGGCTAATAAAGTAATAGTAATATATACATTTTGGAAACCATGCAAACTTGTGCAACCAATTTTCCTGATTTAGAACATCTTGATGAATCTATATCAGTGCATGGTCCTGAAAGTGGTGGTTCTTGATTTATAACAATCTATAAAATAAACCATTTTTTATGTAAACCAACAATAAAATATTTAAATAATTAAATAAAAATTCCGATTAAATTAAATAAAAACCTCTTTGGATAATCCCCACTTCTTCCTCCAAAGTGTTAGGGTCTTTTTGGTTAGCTCTGTAGGATCACATTTATCCGTTTTTTCATTTGAAGTTAATTTATTACGAGCTTCTAATAACGCAATTACTTGCTTTGTATGTTCAACTGCCTCTTTTCTTCTTATTGTCTCACTGATCATTTTGTAATCATTAACTAATGAAACACCACGTGATTTCCAATCTCCTAAAAATTCTTCTCCACGTACATATTTGTTGGCCGTATTGAGACGCCAAAGCTCAGAAATTTTACGTGTCATTGGTGGTTTAAGTGTAATGGAAAATAGTCCACTGGTTTTCCATAACACTTTTGATTGATTTATCAATTGTGTTAATTTTGATGGTGGTTTTGCTTCACGTCCTTGGATTTGAACTGCAATATCCATGTGAAATGTTATGGGCTCTACACATTTTTCAGCCTCAACATACCATGTTAATCCTAATAAAACACGACTATTAGAAGTTGTTATTCGATTCAAAAATATTGAATCATGAAGTGTACTGTCCCATGACGCTTGTGCAACAATCACACTAGTACCATCCCTATTAAAATGAACAGGTTGATGTGGCAATAAATTCATTTGAACATCATTTTGAACTGAAGACTCTGACAATCTCCCTTTTCCATTTAATAATCTTACATGTCCAATTTCCATTTTTGTTATTTTATTCCAAGGGAATAGTCTGCCTGAATTATGTGTCAATGTTAAAATTATTCGACGTTGTAGTCCTTGTCTTAAGAAAAATGCCCCAGGATCTAGAGAATTTTGTGTAAGTACTTGAACTGGTACATATTCTCCTGTAGGGGCAAGTTCACAAACTTGTACCCAAGCTATAACGTCATGTTTTTCTTCCGATACAAGTTCATTCTCAGAATGACGTTCTCTTGAAACCATAGAATCTGTGTGAACCTGTCCATTAATGCCTCTATAAAGTGGTCTCTCCTTATGATCATCCCATTTTTTCATCTCTTCTAAAACACATTGCTTTGCACGTCCAAAAATTTCAAATGTTAACATTCGATTTGTAAATACATCTATCATCTCAGGCGATACTATCATTTTAAATGTTTGTTCATAATTAAGATTAATTGGTAAATTTCCAAAGTCTGACATGATGTTAGTAGCCAAAACCCCACTTGATTCATTTCCAAATGATGAATGTTTGAATTGCACATGCACATCTGTAAATTGTGACTCTGAAATTCCAGTAAGTTCTAGTATTTTGACCTCAAACACAACTTTGTATCCAATCAACAATTTACTTGATGTTTCATTTGGTTTATCTTTGATTAAATTATTATTATCATTATCTTTAGCATCTTTGCCATCTTTGCCACCATTGTATTTATCTAAAAAATCTGCAATATATTTGATAAGAATTCTGCAATAACCTAATACATCACCAGAATATCTACAAATCACTGGTGTTTTATGTTCATGTTCAGTTTTATATATTAAACTTGTTAGACCAATGGAAGCACTTCCTATAAAGGTATAATGAGGTAAAGGATTTTCATAAAATGGGTCTTCCCAATTAAAATGTCTACTGTATTGAGGACGATCTATAAAATTATACAAGTTGCGCATCTTCTGAAGGCGGGTTTTGAGTTTATCCAAAGACCAGACATATACAACTCCATTTTTAAAGTCAATAACTTTCACTCCTACACAAGGTTTTTTAGACGCGTGTAGTGAAGTGTCCTCATTGTTATTATACTGGTTTAATGCTGACGTACTTTCATAAGATGAAATTGGATTTGTAAATGGTTCATCTTCTATAATGGTAAATTGATAAAGAATTTTTTTATCAAGTTCTTTACTTATAACATTAGCCTCTTTCAATATGACTGCATTACTAAGTAAAGTCTCAGCCATGTAAACATATCTTTGATGCCTCCATTTCTTGACAGCCATCCTAATAAGACGTAATTCTTCTTCGGTATATGTTGTTTTTCCTGGTCGTGCTTTGCTATAATCTTCATAAGGATTCTGTGAAATGTTTTGAAGTTTATTCATTTCATCTTGAACCATCTTAAGTTTTTCTTCAATCTGTTTATTTTCGGCTTTTAATTCATCTGCTTCGTTAATTTTTTTCATCTTTTCTTCATATTCTTGTTTTTGCAATTCAAGTTGTTGTTGAATTTCTTCTTTAAACGGTTTGACTTTTTCTTCAACAATTTCAGATTGCGCCAATCCGTTATAATTTGTGTCAAATGTCTCATATGTACCATTTGATCCCATTTTCTCAGAAGTTCTTGATTCTGTATCATCATCAAAATGTTCGTTTCTACTGTCAGGTCGTTTACGAGCTTCTTGTATTTTCTTAATGTCTTCCATAAGTTTTTGTAAATCTTCATCAGGTAAAGTTGTGAATTTGGAGTTGTCACCACCAGAATTTAAATAATTAAGAGCCACCTCCCGTTTTGCATAATTCCAATCTATAACAGCTTCTGACATAAGAGATGTGGGTGAATCTGGTCGTCTTAATCCATCCTCGTTATTAGCAATACTAATACTGAGTTGCTTTGATTTAGCACGTTCTTTTCTAACTTCTTCAGGATTATTAAATCGAAACACGTGA